CATAAGTTCTAACTTCGGCCCTGGGTAGAAACAAGACTTTCTGAACTGACAGGAATATTATAGATTACTATATAAGCGGGAGGCTTTTTGGTAATGAACAAAAATGTACTATTGCCTTTTCCTTTAAGAGTTAATCCAAAGACTGGAGAGATGGCTCAGCTGTTAAGAGCACTTGCAGAGAATCATGGTTTGATTCCTAGCACCCACACCAGGTGACTCCAAACTGCCTGTGAACAGTTCCGGGATATCTGGTGCCCTCTTCTGGCCTTTGCAGGCATTTGCACACACATGGTGAACACAGAGAGGAGGGGGTACACACATGCAATACACACACACACACACACACACACACACACACACACACACACACACACACGGGGTGGGGAGGGGGTAATCCAAATGGACCTGTCAATCACCTAGACAGGAAAATGCTGCTCAGGAAGCTGTTCCAGAAACTAAAACATAGTAGAAAACCCGTCTAACCATTGTCCCCTCCTACCCCTTGAGAAATGTTTTTCTGGGGCCTGGAGAGATGGCTCAGCAGTTAAGAGCTCTGGCTGTTCTTCCAGAGGTCCTGAGTTCAATTCCCAGCAACCACATGGTAGCTCACAACCATCCATAATGAGATCTGGCACCCTCTTCTGGCCTGCAGGTAGAACACTGTATACATAATAAATAAATACATCTTTAAAAAAAGAGAGAGAGAAATGTTTTTCCTTTACAGTGTTCCTTTTTGTTTTGTTTTGTTTTTTTGAGACGGTTTCTCTGTGTAGCTTTTGGAGCCTGTCCTGGATCTCGCTCTATAGACCAGGCTGGCCTCAAACTCACAGAGATTGCCTGCCTCTGCCTCCTGAGTGCTGGGATTAAAGGCGTGGGCCACCATCACCTGGCAAGAAATGGTCTACTAGTTCTTATATGTCACTTAAACACTGTTGAGCATGTTCCTAGAATAATCTCCACCAGTTGAGTAGTACTATTGGCACCTTACACAATTGAAATAAGCATATACAGACTTCAAAGTAGCAAGAAAACTTTATTCAAAGGCCAAGTAATAGTACAGACCAGAAATATACTGCCACTCTTGACCACAGGGCACATGAGTGAGAATGCACTCAAGGGTCCTGATTACGGTTTGGGGCTTCCTTTTATGCAGTCTAAGGGAAAGAGAGGCTGGTTACTAAGGGGTGTAATAAAAGTGGTTCTCTATTTTGACAGACTGGTTTGAGTTACATAAGTTTTTTGTTTGTTTGTTTGTTTTTTGGCTTTTCGAGGCAGGGTTTCTTTGTGTAGCTTTGCGCCTTTCCTGGAACTCACTTGGTAGACCAGGCTGGCCTCGAACTCACAGAGATCTGCCTGGCTCTGCCTCCCGAGTGCTGGGATTAAAGGTGTGCGCCACCACCGCCTGGCCTTTTTTTTTTCCTTTTTCCATGCATCTGATTTTAATCATGTGCAATCCCAAATACGTGTAGGCATAAAATGATAATAGAGGATTCTCCCCTAAAACTTCAAAGGGCACAGTTTCTCTTATTGCACATGCACCCAAAACCAGTTTAGGCCAGATTATTCCATCTCTCTTGGGGCATTATCTCGAGGTCACTGAGAGAAGAAACTTATTTCATTGTTTAAAGTTGGTATATCTACAAACCGATACAGAGGAGGTGGCCCAGATTTCCAAAAGGACGCTGGGTGCACTGTTGGGAGAGATGTCTGTGTGCATAGTACAGGCAGGTGGGAGTCCCAGATTGCCAAGTGAATTGTTAGAAAAGTGAATGGTCCAAACTAAGTGGAGTTTGAAGCTGCTGAGCTGTTCTCTATGCTTGCCTGTCTCATTACTAATTAAGCTCACGTCAGTACTCAGAAGTTATTCCTTGACTCCTGAGGAAGCTTTTAAGGAGCCTCACTTAAGCCTTGCTAAGAAGAGCATACATCAGCTACAAAAGAGAGTTTTACTGTCACGTTCCACACATGTATATAGCATATGTCATCATTCATCTTCACTACTTTTTCTTGTCCTACCTCTTAACTCCTTCTGCCTTCATGCTTTGTTTGTTTGTTTGCATAGTTGTTGTTTTTTTTTGGTTTTTCGAGGCAGGGTTTCTCTGTGTAGCTTTGCGCCTTTCCTGGATTCCGCTCTGTAGCCCAGGCTGGCCTCAAACTCACAGAGATCCGCCTGGCTCTGCCTCCCAAGTGCTGGGATTAAAGGCGTGTGCCACCACTGCCCAGCCTTGTTTGCATGTTTGTGCCATGCTAAGGACTGAACTGAGGGCCCTGTGCCTGCTTCACACGTGTCTACCACTGAGCTTCAATCCCAGTGCGTGCACACCCACATATACACACAACTCGTGATGATCCTTGTACCTCAGCTTCCAAAGTAGATAAGATGACTGAGATTATGAACCTGTGTTACCAGGATGTTTTTCAGGGTCTCATGTAGCCCAAACCTTAAACTCTGTGTAGCTCAGCATGACCTTGAACTTGTGATTCTCCTGTACCTCCTGAGTGCTAGGGTTATGGGCATGAGCCACCATGCCCACGTTTATATGTACTGGATATCAAACCCAGGGTTCAATGCTTACTAAACAAGCCTCTATTAACTGAGTCATCTCCAGCCCTCCTCTCTTTTTAAATTTAGATTTTAATACATGAGAAAACATTAAATAGTTGAGTCTGGCTTATTTTGCTTAACATTATTTCCACCTCCACCCTTTTCTTACAAATAACACAACTGTATTCTTCTTTAAGGCTGAGTAATACTCCATTGTGGGAATATATTCCATTTTGTTTATCCATTTGGCCTCTGATAAGACAGGTATTGATAGGCAGATTTCATAGATTGGCTACTGTGGATACTTCTAGTAAACCTAGGTATGCAGTTTGCCCAGGAGTGATCTACTAAGATCATATGGTAGTTCTGTTTTCAGATTTTTGAGGAACTTCCATATCGATTTCCCGGTGGTTGGTCTAATTTACATTCCTACCAACACTGTGTAAGTGTATAAAGGTGTGTCTCACCCTGTATACATCTCACTCTTTCCTTGATGGCATTTATTTCTCTTTCTTTTTGGATTTTCAGGACTGGGTTTCTCTACATAGCCTTGGCTGTCCTGGAACTCAATCTGTAGACCAGGCTAGCTTCAGACTCAAGAGATCGCCTGCCTCTTCCTCCTGAGTGCTGAGATTAAAGGTGATGTCATCACTACCTGGCTTTATTTTTGTTTTCATTCTTTTTTTTGTTTTGTTTGTTTGTTTTTTTGAGACAGGGTCTCCCTGTGTAGCCCTAGCTGTCCTGGAACTCATTCAGTAGACTATTTTTGTTTTGTTTTTGTTTTTTTGTTTGTTTGTTTGGTTTTTCGAGACAGGGTTTCTCTGTGTAGTTTTGGTGCCTGAGACAGGGTTTCTCTGTGTAGTTTTGGTGCCTGTCCTGGATCTCACTCTGTAAACCAGGCTGGCCTCGAACTCACAGAGATCCACCTGGCTCTGCCTCCCGAGTGCTGGGATTAAAGGCATGCGCCACCACCGCCCAGCTATTTTTGTTTTCTTGATGGTAGTTACTCTGACTGTGGTGGAATGGAATCTCATCTCAGTGTGGTTTGGTTTGCATTTCCCTGAGGGCTAAAGAAGATGCACATTGTTTTCATGTATTTATTGGGCATTTGTACTTCCTTTGAGGCTGTCTGTTGAGTGCACTTGCCTATTCATTGATAAGACTATTTGTTCCTTTGATGTTTAATTATTTCAGTTCTTTAATATATTCCATCTTGTGTCAGACAAATAACTGGCAAAAGTTCTCTCCCATTTTGCTGGCTCTCCCTTCGTTCTGGTAATGATTTCCTTTGCTGTGCTGATGCGTCTTAATGTGGTGTGATCTCACCTGTTAGCTTTTGCCACTGTTTCCTGAGCTATGAAGAAAGAACTTTTGAAAAAATAAGCAAACCATGACATCCAGGTGCTAAGTGCCTTAAAAGAAGTGACTTCTGTGCACCACTGTAATACCAAGGAGGCGGGCTGTCACTTGGCACAACATAATCAGGCACATACTCTTTTATTCAAACCCAGCTTTCCCATTCAGAGCTTGACCTTGGGCAAAGTGCATACTTTCCTCTGTGGAGTGACAATGATGGTAGTACAGTATTTACCTCATCTTGGTTAGAAAGATTAAATTAGTCAAATTCCTAGGTTTCTGTTGGCCAATTAAGTTCCATTAGTCTTATGTCCTGCTGTCCTGTGGCTTGTAGAAAGAATACTTGTCTAAGGATAATGTGCTGTGAGGCGGTAGTGACGCACGCCTTTAATCCCAGCACTCGGGAGGCAGAGCCAGGTGAGTTTGAGGCCAAGGCTGGTCTACAGAGAGAGATCCAGGACAGGCACTAAAACTACACAAAGAAACCCTGTTTTCAAAAACCAAAAACCAAAAACCAAAAAAAAAAAAAAAAAAGGATAATATGCTTTGCTATTTATTTAATGTTATTAATAAACACAGAACATCTAGTATGAGCAAAAGCTAAGTGACTAAAAAAACCCTCTGTATGAAGCAAAGGAGCTATTTATGACTGTGGGTCAAAATCATTTCACCCAGGGAGCAGGGAAGATGTCTCCTCTCACTCAGCGAAGTGTCTGCCACATAAACACAGGGCCCTGTGTTTGGATTCCTAACACTCCGGTAAAAAGCTGGGGACAGTAGTACTCACGTGTAACTCCAGTAGGGGGGAAGTGAAGACAGACAGACCTTTGGGACTCCCTGGCCAGCCAGTCTACCTGAGCTTAATAAAGAGACCCTGCCTCTAAAAGTGAAGTGCAGACTGATTGAGGAAGACACCCTCTGTCCACCTCAGGCCTCCACATGCATAGGCACTCTGTACACACATCTGCATAGACACACACATACGTGTACCACACACATATACACAACCCCTCACCCAGGAACCTAAGCCTCCTGGCAGCCCTGTCTACAACTTATCTCCTCTCTCTCAGCCTTACTTGACATAGTGGTCACAAGCAAGTAAGAGGTTCCAAGAGAATAATATTTATTTAATTTATTACGCTATTTTTTATCATCATATTTAATTTCCCCAGCAAATTCTGAGGTGGATGTTGTTACCACTGTTACCATTCTACACACAAGCTCAGATACCGTGCTTTTTAGAAAAAACACAAAATAAAAAAAACAGCCAAACAAAAAAAAACAAAACAAAGCCCACAGCTACTTAGAGCCAGTACAAGAATTTAAGGCTGGAATCTTCTGGTTCTCTACCATCAGGTACCATCAGTGTAGCCAATCACAGTTGTGATGTCCTATGAGTAAACAGTTGATAGGCAGAGTCTTCTTCAGCACAGTTAGTGTCTTAGTGTCTTGCTAACCGCTTGGATATTTTGTCATTCCCGCCCAGAGCTCAGATCATGGGCATGGAAAAGTGCTGGGGATGAGAGGGGAAATGAAGGCTAAATCAGTGCAGCAAGAACTGGTTACTGGTTCACATTTGTCCTGGTTAGTTTTTTTTGTCAACTTGACACAAGCTGGGGTTATCTGGAAAGAGGGAGCCTCAGGCAAGAAAATGTCTCCATCATATTGGCCTGTAGGTAAGTCTGTGGGGGCATTTTCTTGATTAGTGATTGATGTAGGAGATCCCAGCCCACTGTGGGTGGTGCTATTCCCTAGGCAGGTGATCCTGAGTTGTATGATAAAGCAGGCTGAGCAAGCCATGGGAGTAAGCCAGTAAGCAGCCTTCCTCCATGACCTCTGCATCAGCTCCTTCCTGCAGGTTCCTGCCTTGGCTTCCACTGATGATAGACTTTGGCCTATAATCCAAATAAACCCTTTCCTCTCCCAAGTTGCTTTTGGTCATAGTGTTTTATCACAGCAACAGAAAGCAAGTTAGCACAAAATTCAAGGCCAGCATGGGCCATACAGTGAGCCCTTGTCTAAAAACATAAAAAACTAATAGAAAAATATGAAGAAACTGAGACCCAAGGAAGGATATGTCTTGTCCAGTATTACCTAAGAAGTTAGTAACTAAGGAGGGTCTGGAACTATAGCATCAAGTATCTTAGTATCTATAAGTAGCTATGGTGGTTCATGTTGGTTATCAATTTGACAGAATCTACAATAACCTACGAGACAAACATACTGTGAGGGATTGTGTGGGGTAGGCTTAGTGATGTGGGAAGACCCTCCCTAAAGTAGGTGGCAGTGTTCCTTGAGCTTGGGTCCCGAAGGCCAGAAAAGGAGAAAGCTGGCTGAAGACTGCATTCAACCCCCGCTGCTTCCTGACTGCAGGTGCAGTGTGATCAGCAGCCTGGAGCTCCTGCCGCCATAGTGGACTCTACACTGGAACAGTGAACCAAAAGAAACCGTTTCTACCCATAAGATGCCTTTGCTCTGAGTATTTATCATAGCAACAGGAAACGTGACTAATGCAGGAGATGCAAGGTCCCTGAAGTAGAGCTAGTCAGAATTAAGACAGCCTATAAACTGAGCTCAGTGTGGTGGTACAGATAGTGGTCCCAGCACTTGTAAGACTTGGGCAGGAAGAGGGCTGTGATTTCAAAACCAGCCTGGTCTCAAGGAAACAAAACATGGATAGGATTTCAAAGTTTGCATATGGAAAAATGTAGAATATCGCTTCAATGTCTTTTCACATTGATTACATGTTGAACTGATATCGTAGTTATATCTTGTAGTAGTTTGAATGTGGTTGGCCCCATAATCTCATAGGGAGTGAGTGGCACTACTAGGAGGTGTGGCTTTGTTGAGTGGGTATGGACTTGTTGGAGGAAGTGTGTCACTGTGGGGGCGGGCTTTGAGGTTTCCTATGCTCAGGATATTGCCCTGTGTCTCAGTCAACTTCTTGTTGCCTGCAAGATGTAAGATTCTCAGCTCCGGCACCACATCTGACTGCATGCTGCCATGCTCCCCATCATGATGATAGTGGACTGAACCTCTGAAACTGTAATCGAGCCACCCCAATTAAATGTTTCCTTTATAAGAGTTGCCATGTTTGCCGGGTGGTGGTGGCGCACGCCTTTAATCCCAGCACTCGGGAGGCAGAGGCAGGCGGATCTCTGTGAGTTCGAGGCCAGCCTGGTCTACAAAGCAAGTTCCAGGAAAGGCGCAAAGCTACACAGAGAAACCCTGTCTCGAAAAACCAAAAAAATAAAAAAATAAAAAATAAAAAAATAAAAAAAGAGTTGCCATGGTCATAGTGTCTCTTCACAGCAATAAAAGCCCTAAGACATATCTAATACAATAAAATATTAAAGTTAATTCTACTTGTTCCTTTTACTTTTAGTGATTGTGGCAATGGCCAGGTATGATGGTACACGATTGTGATCCTAGCATTGAAGAGACAGGGGCAAGTGGATCTCTATGAGTTCAAGGTCATGACATATGGTCAGACTTTGTGTCAAAAATAAAACAATACAAAATTATAATTTCTTGACCATAACAGAAAAAGAAGTAAAAGGAAACATTGTGTAATTAAATAATATTTCAGTATTGTGGCTGCATTCCTGCTGAGCTCCAGGCTTGGCTCCAGAGAGCAGCACCTAGCCCTAATCCTTCCTTTGTTTAACCACACCTTTCTTTTCTCTTATCGCCCTATGTGAATCTTGTCTGAGAGTCAAGGATCAGAGAGTCTCCCAAGGATCAAAGGCCTATGAAAAACTTGGTTCAGGAAACCCAGAAAACTGTGGTACCTGAGAAATCAAGGAATTTGCACCTGGCATTTTATCTCTGGGAGCTCCTATCAGGTTGCTTGGAAGGTACGGAAATTAACTGACTAAACTGTAATTAGAAATAAAAATGCCCTATGCAAAGGGATAGTGCTTCAGTCCTTCGAGGCTGGACCCTCCTGCAGCCATGAAAGGCTAGATTCATTCTTAAGATGCCTCTGAGTCTTCTTTCCATGGATCCGCATGAACCCACATACTCGTGTCGTGACACACAGTTACACAGTATGCTCAAAAAAGAAGAGAATATCATGAATGTGACAGCACAAATGTATTCTGAACACTGACATGCATCTCTATAAATGATAAAGTTCTCCAAAATGGTAACTTAGTACATCCCAAGCCTGACAGTCTTCCATCCATGTGAGATGTTTCTTAAGAATTTAGCACAGGGCTGGAGAAATGGTTCTGTGGTTAAGAGCACTTGCTGTTCTTCCAGAGGACCCAGGTTCTTCTCCCAGCACCCACCTGGCTGTATACAACATCTGTAACTCCAGTTCTAAATGATGTGATGTCCTCTCCTGGCGTCCTCTATTACTGGACATGTGGTACACAGACGTACATGCAGGCAAAACAAAACAAAGACAAAACCCCAACAACCATGCACAAAAAATAAATCTTAAAGAATTGAGCACATGTTACAAATTCTGCAGAATTGGTTCTCTTTATTTGGGGGTGGGGGGTGGGGGTTGGAGACAAGGTTTCTCTGTGTAACAGCCCTGGCTGTCCTGGAACTTGATTTGTAGATCAGGCTGGCCTCAAACTAACAGATCTGCCTGCCTCTGAGTGCTGAGATTAAAGGCTTGTGCCACCACCACTCAACTAGAATTGGGTCTTTTTTAAAGCAGGGATGCAAGGATAAGAATATTGTAACTACTTTTTCCTCACAAGAATGTTCAGGACATTTAAAGCTATGTGGGATCAGGACGGCTTCAAATATTAGACACCTTCTTACAATGTACAAAACATCACACATACACACATACCCCGGTATCATTTGGCAACAAAATTGTCCCTGTACGTTTCCAAACTGCTCTCTAGGTGTGGTGCTGTTCTTGGGAGCCCACTGCCATCTTTTTCTGCTAACTCACCTTGGGCTGTTCTGCACTTGGCTCTAGCTGCCCCGGCCTTAGTCAATCTCCTTCCTTTCTCAGGGCCTTCCTGTGCTCTCTTCTTTGCCTGGAAAATTCTGCTTGATGTCTGGATGAATCTTGCTGAAACTTGGGATCTCAGTACGTCCACATCCCAATCTAATTTAATTCTTCCTGCTCTGTTTTCCCTCTTAATTCTATACTTAAAAAATAAATTTGTAAAATAAATAAATAAATTTGTGTTTGTGTGGGTGTAAACACACACGCGCGCAACAAGTCACAATCGTGTGGATGTCAGAGGACAGCTTGATAGAGTCAGTTCTCTCCTTTGACCAGGCATGGAACTCAGGTCGTCAGTCTTGGTGGCAAGCACCAGCACATGGTGAGTCATCTGACCGGTTCTTAATTCCGTTCTTTTCTGCCTTGAGACTTACCGTATTTGTGTTAGTGTCTACGGCCTGTCTCCAGCAATTCTCACCACCTTAGAGCTACAGCGTGAGTCTGAGGCATCTTTCTTTAAAGCTATCAGGCTTGAGCTGAAGTGAGGGATGATCTCTGGTCCAGTCGGGACTCACCCGCCTTGGTGTTAGGAGCCACAGCCTCCCAAACGAGCGGTGCAGCAGCAACCATAGAGAGCGCAAGGCGGGAGCGAGGGGCCCGGATGTGGTCACCATAGAGACGGGTGACTGACAGGCAGCGGAAGAGGAAGCCCAGGGAAGGCTAGGCTGTGAGGTGGCAGCGACTGCAGAGCTGAGCTCCTCGGCCCGCAACGGGGTGGGCTCTTGGTCTCGTCACCCGCGAGGCGGCCCCATCTCCGCCCCGGCTTGCCGTGGGGATCGGGTGTCCCTGACGGCCTGATCGGCCTGAGCACCCACTTGGTCCTGCTCTCCGCCGCGACCTCCTTCCTCCGCCGGGGCTCCCAGAGCAAACCAGCTGGACGCCGGGCCTCCTCCTCTGCAGTCGCGGGACGTAGGCGATTCATTTCTGACTCCAGACGACCGGCTAGGATTCGCTTTGGGTCTTCTTCTGAGGGCTGGCACAGGGCTGTGGTTGCCAAGGGACCTAGTAGGGCACTGGCTGGCGCAGGCGCGGGTCCTATTGGAAGGTGGTGAGCCCCTGCTGGCCTTCCCAGACCCCAGTGTTTCTCAGACTGCTGCTGTTCTCCCGGGTTGCTTTATTTTGTAACCTAGTTACATCAATAGTGCCTATAATTTGTGTCTTGTTGCTCTTAGGAAGGTGGACAGCAGTGGGCTGAGTGGGACGGCCTGCAAAATGGCTCCGTCAGCCATTGCGCTCCTCTGAGAGGCCAGCTGTGCTGAGTCACTGTGGCTGTCCACCTCATTTAGGTGGGCAGATGGGTGTGCACCATGCATGGCTAATGATCTTATGTGACAAGGAGGGGGTTCCTAGAACCTGTGGGTTTCTATGACACTCAGGCACAGGGTGGAAGGAGGCTCTGACCCCTTCCTCTAGTGTTAGCCTGCAGCAGTAGAGTCAAGAGTCCCTTCTTGGGCCTGAGCAGACATGGTGGGCCATGATACCTACAGGACAGGGCAGGGTGGCTGAGGTGGGGCCCTTTGGTTGGGCTGTTGTTTGGATGGTGCATGCGCTTGTCTCTGACTCCTGCTTCATCAGGTGCTTTTTGAATTAGGCCCATGCTTCAGATGGATGTAACCCCTTTGGGGGTTCCGTTTGGCAGTATTGCACTTCCTTTCCTCTTTCTACCGGACTGCAGACTGCGATCCCAGCAGTGAGTGGCACTGTCCACATAGACATTAGTATTTTGTTGAGGGGTGTATCAGCACCATGGCCACTGAAGACCAGGCTTAGGGAGTTGGGAAGACTTTGTGGGGGATGCTGGGCCTGGAAGCCAGCACACTTTGCTCCTTACTCTGTTGCTGACCTCATTGACCTCAGGTTCCCTGGTCAAAACTGTGGGGCTCTTGCTGGCCTGGTGCCCCTCAACCTATTGATCCTTGAGACCGTGCCCTGGGGCACCCCACGTCAAGGCCTGCCACCATGCGACTGAGCTCCCTGCTGGCTCTGCTGCGACCAGCACTCCCCCTCATCTTGGGGCTGTCTCTGGGATGCAGCCTGAGCCTTCTGCGGGTTTCCTGGATCCAGGGTGAGGGAGAAGATCCCTGTGTAGAGGCTGTGGGGAAGCCAGGAGGGCCACAGAATCCAGACTCAAAAACTGGGCTGGACCAAAGCGATGAAGACTTCAAACCCAGGATTGTGCCCTACTACAGGGATCCTAACAAGCCCTACAAGAAGGTGCTCAGGTGAGGGTGATGTGTGCATAGCACCCACCCACCCCCCTACCCCCATCCCCCCACCCCCCACCCCAGCACTGATGCTCATTCCGGAGCTATTGGCTGCTGTGTTTGCATTGCTGCTCAGTGGTGTTTTCCCAGAAGCACTTGTTTCCTGTCTCAGTTTGCTCCTAGTTCATCCCTCCCCAGATCTGAGTGTCTCGCCCATTGGTGTTAATGTTCACTGTTCTTGAACAGAGCCGTACTTGCACTAACCCCCTGAATAGACCTGAGCAGACCCTGCCCCCACCCACTAGTCCATCATCACCTGCTTAGTGGACACTCACACAGTAGCTGGTCAGTAGTGATGAGAGAGTTCTCTTGCCTTTCTCAGCCCCAGCGCTTTCATTCTTAGGGATATATGTTCTGGGCAAGCTGGTGATGCTCCCTTAATGGCTCAGGAGGTGACCCCTTATCCTCTGATCTCTCCACAGGACTCGGTATATTCAGACAGAGCTGGGCTCTCGTGAGCGCTTGCTGGTAGCTGTCCTGACTTCCCGTGCCACACTGTCCACCCTGGCCGTCGCTGTTAACCGTACAGTGGCACATCACTTCCCTCGATTGCTCTACTACACAGGGCAGCGAGGGGCCCGGGCTCCTGCAGGGATGCAGGTGGTGTCTCATGGAGATGAGCGGCCTGCCTGGCTCATGTCCGAGACCCTGCGCCACCTTCACACACACTTTGGGGCTGACTATGACTGGTTCTTCATCATGCAGGATGACACATATGTGCAGGCCCCCCGATTGGCAGCTCTTGCTGGCCACCTTAGCATCAACCAAGACCTGTACTTGGGCCGTGCCGAGGAATTCATTGGTGCAGGCGAGCAGGCCCGGTACTGCCATGGGGGCTTTGGCTACCTGCTGTCACGGAGTCTCCTGTTGCGCTTGCGGCCACATCTGGATGGCTGCAGAGGAGACATTCTCAGTGCCCGGCCTGATGAATGGCTTGGCCGCTGCCTCATCGACACTCTGGGCATCGGCTGTGTCTCACAGCACCAGGTGACAGCCCCTTCAAGGCAGTCCCAGTCCCCCAAAGGTTGGCAGTGACTGAATGATTGCTGTCCAAACTGATTTCTCGAGACCATCCTCTTGTCCTTCCCAGATGCCAGCCTGCCCCTTCAGCTCTCCCTTGCTCACCTTACAGCACTGGGGCCATCAAAAGTGCGTATCCTTAGGGACCCCTAAAGCCAGAAAGGTGCCTAAACTCACCAGCCCCAGCCCCACCCCCACCGTTTTCCACATCCAGTGTGCATCACAGTTCAGGACAATGTGAAAATGTTCTAGAGTTGGCCATCCCCAAAGTGGAAAGCCCAGAGGTCCCTCTACTACCCTAGAGAAGGTGGAGCAATCCCAGCAGCAGGCCATCTGGGAGGTTCTTCTATGACTGTATTTTCATTGAGCTGTGGGGTTCTTGGGGGCAGAGGACGTCCTTGGTTGTCTGTTTGCTTTCTCATTTCCAAAATGTGGGCATTGGAAGTAGGAATGGAGGCTGGGGAGCCGTGCATTTCTGTCACTCGAAAGTAGCAGCAGTGATAGGTGTGAATGCTAAGGAGGGCCGTGGGGGCTGTAGGTGTAACAGCTTACACGTGCAGCATTGACTGTCTGATTGGTCTCTAGGGGCAACAGTATCGCTCCTTCGAACTGGCCAAGAATAGGGACCCTGAGAAGGAAGGGAGCTCTGCTTTCCTGAGTGCCTTCGCCGTTCACCCTGTCTCCGAGGGTACCCTCATGTACCGGCTCCACAGACGCTTCAGTGCTCTGGAGTTGGAGCGGGCTTACAGTGAGATAGAACAACTGCAGGTGAGCTGTGCCTGAGGGCCGTGGCTGGGAGTGCACAGGGAGCCTGAGGAGCCGGGCTTACAGGAGAGTTGGGGCTGGGCTAGCGGGGTAGAAAGAGGCTAACTTCCTAAATTTAAAACAACCACAGGGACAAGGGACCCTAGGGTCCAGGACATTGTAAAGTAAGCTCTGGGCTGACTCCCACCAAATGTGTAGGTAAACTCCCAAGAGCTCACTTAAACGCCTCTACAGTAGTGCTTTCCTCTGAGACAGCAGCCCACAAAGTCCCAAGCTTCTAGAATTGTCCTAAAAGGTCCGAAAGGTAGAAGAAGGGGATTCTGTGGTGTGAGGGTCTCCAGAGGTGGGGTAGAGATAGAAACAAAGGTCTGATCATGACGAGGATGTATGTGAGTCCTGTGGGCATGAGAGTGGAAGTGTGTTGAGATCTCCTGGCAGCAGCTGTGTTAGGGGGTATTACCCATCTCCCTTCTGCACTTTAGATGAAGACTGTTCTGGGCAAGGGAAGAGGTGGTTAGCCGGGACTCTGCTGCCTGGGCACCTGGAGCCGGGTGGGATCTTAAAAGCAGCACTAATGTTGGGTGCATTTCCTCCACCCCAGGCTCAGATCCGGAACCTGACAGTGCTGACTCCCGAGGGCAAGGCAGGGCTGAGCTGGCCTGTCGGGCTTCCAGCCCCTTTCACTCCACACTCTCGCTTCGAGGTGCTGGGCTGGGACTACTTCACAGAGCAGCACACCTTCGCCTGTCCAGATGGCGCTCCCAAATGCCCGCTGCAGGGGGCTAGCAGAGCAGACGTAGGCGACGCTGTGGACACTGCTCTGGAGCAGCTCAATCGGCGCTATCAGCCCCGCCTGCGCTTCCAGAAGCAGCGACTGCTCAATGGCTACCGGCGCTTTGACCCCGCGAGGGGCATGGAGTACACTCTGGATTTGCTTCTTGAAGCTGTGACTCAGCGAGGGCACCGACGCGCCCTGGCCCGCAGAGTCAGCCTGCTGCGGCCGCTGAGCAGGGTGGAAATCCTGCCTATGCCCTATGTCACGGAGGCCACCCGGGTGCAGCTCGTGCTGCCACTCCTGACGGCTGAGGCTCCGGCTGCCCTGGCTTTCCTTGAGGCCTTTGCTGCCAGTGTTCTGGAGCCTCGAGAACATGCATTGCTCACCCTGTTGTTGGTGTATGGACCCCGGGAAGGCCGCGGGGGCCCCGACCCTTTTCTTGGGGTGAAGGCTGCAGCAGCTGAGTTAGAACGACGGTACCCTGGGGCGAGGCTGGCCTGGCTTGCTGTGCGAGCAGAGGCCCCTTCCCAGGTGCGGCTTATGGATGTCATCTCCAAAAAACACCCCGTGGACACACTGTTCTTCCTTACCACCGTGTGGACAAGACCTGGGTCGGAAGTCCTCAACCGCTGCCGTATGAATGCCATCTCTGGCTGGCAGGCCTTCTTTCCAGTCCACTTTCAAGA